TTTGTTCAATTAAATATATTTTTTTATTTGTTTCATTTTCTTCCATTATCCTCACATAATTTAATCTTTTACCATGACTATATACTTCTTTCTGAAAATAAAATATTGAAAAATTATTCCATAAATTAACTCAACTATCATTCTTCAAATTTTTGTTATCATCCGATACATCACCACAAAAAAATTAATTCTTATAGTCAATATTGTTTTTTTTCATAAGTATAAATTATTTGATAATTTAGCTAAATCCCATTTTTAAGTTTTTATTCATCATAAGATCACTAATAATGGCAATTCAAATATATATATATTTTTTAATTTTTAATCACTTTTTAATTTAATATTCTATTTTATTCCATTTCTATATTAACCTTCATTAATTATGTAACCATTACTATCATCAAAATATTATTATTAAAACCTCTAAAAATTTTCACACCCATTACTATCATTGTTATATTCGCCACAATAAATGATTTAAGTTACCTCAAATATTAACTTATTTAATAGAGTTGTTTAAAATGATCACTTAACTCAACTTATTTACCATTCTTTTAACCTTGTTGATCATATTCCTCCAAACTTCTATACTATGATATTTACGATTTACTTTAAATCTAATTACTAATTTCCAATTTTTTTACATCCATTAAGTTTCAGAATATGGCTCTCTTTTTTTTTTCTATTAATATTCCATGTACATATATTCTTGATACGTTATTTAATTATCACATATCTAGATATTTTTATTACTAAGAAGGGTTGGCTACTTTCTAATCATTCCATTAACTCACTACTTATTCTGTTATTTTTATATTTTAAATTGGTGAATTAAGTTAAACTCTCATCTATTTATTCAGGAGTAGTAGTCATCACTCTCTAAGAATTTTTGCATAGTCAAAATTATGAGTTAATCAAAAGTATTACTTAGCTAAAATTATTTATTAAATAATTTTATTTCATATCAACTCGAAAATCTAGAATTCTTTTAAAGAAGTAAACTTTACGAATTAGATAATTATCTTTGAATTTTTCAATCTCTATAGAATTATTACTCATTCTGTTTTATGGTAAAAATTATTAAATTTATTTGTTTTTTTCTACTTCAATTTTATGCATAAATAAGTTATCTGAATATTTATTTATAATATCTATGCTATTATTCTACTTTTTGAGTAACATAACTTCTAATGACAAGATATTCTTGATCCTCAAAATCTTTTAATGGATTCTAAAGTGTGAATTTAAAATCTGCCAAGAAATAAATTAATTTTTTAATGTCATATAAGATCTCTAATAACTTATTAATTATTAATCAATTTTGCTCTCATAACAATTATAAATAGAAAATAGTAAAGTGACCTCATTTTAATCACTTAAAACAAATATGAATTTATATAAATATGTTACATAGAGCTTTTTGAATTTTTCTCTTTAAGACTTTTGTTCATTGTTAATTAATGTCTTTCATCAAGCATGAAATTGCGGACGAAAATTGTCTCAAATTAAATC